ATAAATAGAAACCATTCTTTCTCAAAAGACTGACCGCTTACAATATCGATGTAACCGCCAGAATTTTGTGAGAAACATGATAGCATTTCAGCTTGCTACATTTGATGACATTTAAGCTTGCTTACTTACTTACCAATTCCTTGCATCTACGCAAGTTGTTTTACTGACGAGATTCATTTCAAGATCTTTCAAGTGCGTAGTGTTGCTATTAAAAATATTTTGGCTGTTTTTTTTTTTGAAGCTACTGAAACTTCATGCGAAATAAAAACATCGAAAAAACACATTCAACATCCGTGTATTGTGACTATGAATGGTCAAGATGACCCGATGGCACGCTACACATTCGTGTCCTCTCTGGATCTATCGGTGTTTGTTTGATATTGCAATGCTAATATTTATACACTGTGGGCGGTATATCAGGGATATTGGACCGGAGAGATGCATTTTACAAACACGTCCACACAGAGTCAAGGCCAAATAGCCTTCATTTGAATACTGAGCCGTGCTTAGAATGACAACGTAAATTAAGCGAGACCATTCTAGAGATTACCGGACAAATCTCGTTCGAGCGATGTGGTTGTTTTAAAAGTTTCGTAAACCAATTACCGTAATGATTTAGGAAATAAGAAAATCGGATTTAATAAGTAGAGGTGTTTAGGTTATAGAAACAAAATCGCTCAAGGCAGCCCCACACAAGATTTAATTTCCCATTCTAATTTGATTGATAACAGAGAACCCAGGTCTGAATGTTGATTGTATTAAAACTGTAGACTAAAGAAACCTTAAACACCGTATTATTCACGCGCTGTTGGGATCCTTGTTGAATAAACCAGCTCGCTTCATCTTGCTGTGCAGTGTTTATATACAAAACAAGAAGAAACAGCGGGATTCTTTTCGCTAATTTATAGTTTCCTGTAGTTGCCAAAAACATTGCACGCAAGATCATTTTTGGAACTTAACTTTCCCTCCATCGTAGCTACTGTTAATGGTTAAGAAAGCAGGTTTTTCTCTTCAAGTGAAAGCGAAAGACGATACATTTGAAGACCTGACTCGGTTCAATTGATCAACGAGGGTTCAAGCAATAAGGTTTCGCGGCTTATTACGTTCGCTTGTTTATGAATACCGTACATGGGTCGCTGATTTCACTGTGTTCGGATTTTGCTTATGTGGCACTAAAATAGTTGCGGATCACTTGTTTAGGACTAAAGTCAAATCCAGGTAAAAACTTGAATCTTTTTAATAACTTTATTGCCCAGCATTGTTCATCTTTTAACAGCTATGTGTTAATTAACTTCAAATGAAAATTGGTGCAATAAATGTAAATTAATTGAGTCATTGGAAGACGTGATGGCATGACTAGATAACTTACATTTGGCTAACATATGTAACATTGTTAAAGATCTCTTATCTTACGAATTTAAAAACAATATTTACACATTCCAACTCTCAATATGTCCTTGAAAGTGAATACTTCGCATAAGTATTTCGTACTAAATTTGATGGTCTTGACGGAAATGTCAATTCGAGCTGTATTGCTTTGCGATTTCGATTTCTTCGGGTATTTTCGCGGTCTCGAGCAAGCCAAGTTCGCTACCACACAAACTCAAATTCTTGTAGAATTCGAACATGAACTTTGTCCGCATCAATGCTTGAAGTAACTTCTTTCATCTTGTCACTTTATACTTCAGCTATTAGCTGCTAAAAGCTGTTTTTGTTTTTATAATGCATATCAGCAGCTGTGCTGTATCGAGTCGCTTTCAAGAGGAGGCATATTGTACAGCAAAGTCGCTCTCAGCAGCATTTTAAGTATAAGTTCATCGTCCGTCACTTCAACGGGAAACTTTCCATCCTTGTCCTCTGCTCTTACATTTGCACCGCTTCGTAGAAGAAAACGGCAGATTTCTTCATACCCCTCACTGGCTGCGTAGTGCAGAGGCGTCCAGCCGAATCTGTCCTTCTTGTTAACGTTGGCTCCAAGTTCAACCAACATCTTGGCGCTCTCTAAATTTCCGTCCAGTACGCACTGGTTAAGCGCCGTGAGTCCTGACGTAGTAATTTCATTGATTTCACAACATGTCATTTGCTTTCTGAGTCGTTTCTTCAACGCTTCTCTGTCCCTCGGTTGTTTGACTGCTGCGATTTGAAGCTGCAACACCATATCAATCGGAACGCGGCGACTAATTCTTTTCCTTTTCTTCTGCGCTGGAGATCCTTCAGGCGAACCTTGCATGGCTAAATCTTGCATGATGTTGAAACTCCGTGAATCTCTTGTTGAAATTTTTCGTAATATACCTCGCGCTAGCTTCACAACTAATTCACACCTTCGCTTCAACTATTGTGATGTTCTGAGATTGATGTGCGTGAAAGCGCCGTTTTATGCCTTTCTGATCATATCAGAGATCGCACAAGTGCTATTCACAAAAGAATCAATTACGGACGTCACGTAGTAATCAGCTAGCCATCCGTGTCATGTGCTGTGACGTCATGCATTGGCAATACTGAACGTGCGAAGTCACGAGAGACACGAGATGTAAATTCGCACTTGTAAGCGGGATGACGTTAAAACTATTATAGCTTACTCTCTTATCTACAAGCTACACGAATCTACCGGTTAACAAGGATTTAATGTATCGTATCAAACATATTCTCTTATCTCTATATTTGATTGCCAAACGGATCTTATCACTTAACCCCATGATCCAGCGCGCGGTCGCAAACTGTAATTTCCCTAATTGCATGTAAGGGCATGTCGGATAACTTTAGCTTAAGTTCTTTCTAACGGGAATTTTCCGACGTTATCCAATATTTTGACACCGCTTCTACCGGAACCGCGCGCCCTTCTTCAGTCCTTGAGAACAGTTAGAAAAAAAAACTGTCACTAAAGGCCTGGGAACCGCCCAAAACGTCGCCAAAAAAACCTACTGCTAAAATATTGGATAACATCGGAAAATTTCCGTTAGCGAGTCAATGTTAAGTCAATACTATTATTATAATACGAGAGGAGAAAGTTTCAGAAAAACTGTTCAAATTTTCAAGTTCGTCGCTCGTAATTAAGCCGTCCCCAGTTTTAACAACCCTTGTTCCTCATTAATCGCCTTAATTTACTATCACCTCTTTTGTGTTTTTCTACTTAATAAACTATTTATTCTGAAGGTAATTTTATACATCGTAAAAAAAGATTCGTGCTTCGTGACAGTTCTTACACAATTTTGATACATGATCACGAATGTGCGTTTTTGTGTACGCGTTGCGTACCTATGTTTGTCGAGCGCTAGCCTGACCAAGTTGCAGTTTTAGTTTACTTGCAAGTTACATAGATTTCACGCTGGCCTCGTTCACAGTTTGTTCACAGTATGTTTGTCGCGTTGTTGTGTACAGAATTTCCCACGTTGTCGGCGTGTGGCCCTGTTGTCATCTGTTCCGGCTGTTTCATATCTATACAGTATATTGCGTTTCCCATAATGTCCTGCTGTTTTTGTAATCACCCACTTCCGCACTTTGGCGCCTGCCTCCTAACAAACAATCAATCAGTCATTGAAAAGGTGTGTGAACGTACAGCAAATTGTATTCCCTAACCACGAATGTTACAAATTTTATCAAGTTTTATCAAATTTGAAAAATGAACAGTTCCATAGAAGAGGACTGCTCAATAGCTTTCATTTGAATGGCCACACTTTAGGATTTCATCCACGGACTTAAAAGTTAGAACTACATTACGTGACTCAAGGTTGGACTCCAGGACAGAAAGCGATAAAGAATTATTTTATCAAATTATCACTAATTGAGTAAAGTTGAAAATTGAACAGCTCCATAGAAGAGTACTGCTCAATAGCTTTCATTTGAATGGTCACACTTTAGGATTTCATCTACAGACTTTTAAAAAGTTAAAACTACATTACGTGACTCAAGGTTGGATTCCAGGACAGATAAAGAGTTATTTTATCAAATTATCACTAATTGAGTAAAGTTGAAAAATGAACAGCTCCATAGAAGAGTACTGTTCAATAGCTTTCATTTGAATGGTCACACACTAGGATTTCATCCACAGACTCAAATGTTTGAGCTAGAGCTACCATAGCATTACGTGACTCAAAGTTGGCCACCGATCCAGGAAAGAAAGTGATCTAAAGAGTTGATTTAAAGCCACCTGCTGTCGCCAGCCTAGATAGTCGAGCTCTTTCTCACATACGTATTTCACAATACAATATCGCTATTAAAATGTCCGGAAACTTTTGCGTTTTCTCCAGTGACTCTCTCTGCGGTCAGTTTGCGTTCCATGACCAGCAAACAAAGGCTTCCTTATGTTAGAACACATTTGAGTGATCCTTTGGTTTCGCCGCTTGTAAACAAAGACCCGCGGTAGTCTATTTTCTGACTTTTCTATTCTCCTGGGGCCGGTTGTTCAAAGAACGATTAAGCTAATCCAGGATTAGCGTGAATATTGAATTCAGTTTTATAATTTTTCAGTGAGGTTTTCTGTTAATATTTTTTGTCCTTCAGTTTTGATTTCGAGTGAACTCTACAAAACATTAACAGTGAAAAACACTTTTGTACAAGAGAAATTAAAACCTCGATTCAGTTAGCATGACATGTAATCGGCTTTCAAACAACCGGGTCCTTGAGGATTAACCCGTTGAACTTGTTTCAGTTACTTACGATTAAAATGCCGTTCAGGTACATGTCACAGAGTGTTGTATGTACAGAGCTGAGTGAATAATATTAAAGAAATAATTAATCACTAGGCGATTTGTGATAGACGCTAATTCATTGATTTGTCTGAACGTTTTGACCTATAAATCTGTTGCTTTTCCAGAGATCTACGGTTGGACGTGATCGATGCATTGAATATCAGTTAATCGCCATAGTCCCACTCGGTAGCGAGGGAGTGGTTTAGGAAGCGAGCGCACCCGAAACGGGAGATAAAAAGTCTAAGAAGATAATATTGTATATGAAATGAATATATTTGAACTGAACACAAAGCGACCAGCTCCCAGTTGGCTTGATAGCTCAGCTGATAGCTCAGTTGGTAGAGCACTGCACCGGCACCGGTAATCGCAGGGGTTATGGGTTCGAACCCCATTCAGTCAATCCTGAATTTTTTTCATGCTTTCTTTTCGAAGCTGCGTTGCGTGCATACTGCGATGGTGTTTGATGTATTAAAATATAATATTGTATTAAACAGCGTTAGAGCCGGAGAAGCTAAGCCGGAGAAGCTAAGCCGTATTAACGGTTAACAAAAAAAAAAAAAAAAACGGTAAAACTGATCCTTTTGGCAAGGAAACAAAGACTAAACAAACTATTTAGAACAAAAAGTAGAACAAATGTATATTAATTTGCCCGATATTTTGGTTTGCTCATGACTCGATTTTTCGTTTTGAAAATTTTTAACTGGCTGAGTCACGCGAGCTTTTGATTAGACTATTATTAAACATTTAATACTTTATCATTAATCATCATTAACCCCTGCTTGAACGATTTACAGCAAAAATTACCTAGCCGTTTTACACAATTGGCTGCACTTGCAATTAGCAAATGGTTTACTCATCAGCTTAAATGAATATATATATATATTCAGGAATATCATTCCACCATTTCAGAATTATACTTCCTTGGCACAATTCTCAATGAAAATATGAATACTGTATATCAACCCAATCACGTTCCCAAGACAAACAGGTTTCGTTATCACCAGAAAGCAAGCGCTCTAAGTTGGTTCGTGACCAGTTGAGAAACGTGATCCTCCGTTTGAGACGACTAGTATTAAACATTTAACATTAATCATCATTAACACATCCATTGAGACCCTATACTTGGATGATGACAGTAAAAATTGCCTAGCCGTTTTATTTGTCAGTTGATCCTTTGACTGTTAACTGTAAAAATTGATTGATTTTCTACATTGTGAAATTCAAAATACACCAGGATCTTGAGATAGCTTAGTAACCAAGCATTTACTGGTAGAGAGAAGGCTGGGCACCACATCGAGTCTGTAAAAAAATGAAGATGGCCAAACAATATGACACGAACCGATTTGTCGTTAGAATTAGTACCTCTCAGGGCTAAAAATGAATTCCAGCCATACCGACAACACACAGGAGATTCTGGTACCTTTTATAGAAGTCTCCCTAGTTTGTAACCATTTGAAGAAAGCTATTGAGCAGTACTTGCATGTGGTACTGATTATTATGCTGTACAAGGTGGTTCTAACTTTTAAGTCTGTGGATGAAACCCTAGTGTGTGACCATTCAAATGAAAGCTATTGAGCAGCAGTAATTTCATGTGGCACTGTTTATTATGCTGTACAAGGTGGTTCTAACTTTTAAGTCTGTGGATGAAACCCTAGTTTGTAACCATTTGAAGAAAGCTATTGAGCAGTACTTTAATGTGGTACTGTTTATTATGCTGTATAAGGTGGTTCTAACTTTTAGTCTGTGGATGAAACCCTAGTTTGTAACCATTTGAAGAAAGCTATTGAGCAGTACTTTAATGTGGTACTGTTTATTATGCTGTATAAGGTGGTTCTAACTTTTAAGTCTGTGGATGAAACCCTAGTGTGTGACCATTCAAATGAAAGCTATCGAGCAGCAGTAATTTCATGTGGCACTGTTTATTATGCTGTACAAGGTGGTTCTAACTTTTAAGTCTGTGGATGAAACCCTTGTGTGTGACCATTCAAATGAAAGCTAATGAGAAGTACTTTCATGTGGTACTGTTTATTATGCTGTACAAGGTGGTTCTAACTTTTAAGTCTGTGGATGAAACCCTAGTGTGTGACCATTCAAATGAAAGCTGTTTATTATGCTCTCTGCAAGGCAGATATTTCCTAATCTTTCTGCTCGTTCAATTCGTCCCCAGTGCCTGGTGCTGACCAAAAGAATCTCGGCCGATGACGTTGATAGAGCGGACACCAGCTCCCCGCGCGTCCAACCTCGCTTTGGCTCGCAGGGGTTTTTCTGCCTGGCAACGCTTGGCTCAACCGGCTCAAGTCAGTTCTCGTGGAGTAATGTTTCGCACGCGCCGGAATTTAAAACTTGCGCATGTCAGATAGAATTCAGATAGAATTCAAACGCTGACCGTCTACGAGGTTGCTGACAGCTGTTGCAGATTTGCATAAAAAAACCCGGCATCTTTCTCCTCGTTTCTCTTCGTAACTTGCTTTCTTCAACCCCCTAAGAATACTGAAACGCCTTGCCAGTTGTTTTTGGAGTTCTGGGCGAAAATACACAAGTGGTGAAGAAAAATGAGTTAAAAGTGCCATTGAGCGACCTTTGGGATTGATTACCGAGTACCTCAGGGAAATTGGTCGAAATTCACACAAAGCTATAGATTTCATTTAATTATTTGCTGATAGAGGAGCGTTCAATAAGGGCTAATCATAAGCTCTGTACAAGGTGCTCCTAACATTTACCATTCAAATGAAAGCTACTGATCGATACCACAAACCCTAAGTAACTTCGAATTCCATGTGGTGCTGTTTGGTTTTCCGGATTTTGTAAAAAATGAAATATGGAAATATTTTGTAAATTTGAAACTTGAATTGGGCGGTCTTGTGAGAGATAGTGTCAGTTTGTTTTCATTGTTGTCTTGTTGTGGGGTTAAACCTTTCGCTGTGACGTGCCTGGAGGGCTTAATAATGAGATCAGAAACAATCGTGAAACTATACAGGGCCAGATACAGGGCCGATTAATTCTGCATACATTAGGAGATTCCAAGATGCCCTTTGTGTTCGGTCAGCCATCTCGGGTTTATCACTGCAAGTGAAAAAGATTATGGTGTTGATCGTCTTGATTAGATATGGTGTGTGTTGCTTGTGAATTTTAGCCTGTCAACATCTTGCTCTATTTTGAATGAGTTCCGATACGACTTATGAACTTCTTTAGTGTGGACAATAATCGCGAAAAGAGAAATTTCCATGTGCTCTCTTGTAAAATCCTCTAACAGACTAAATGTTGACAATAGCAATTTCCTGCGATAACGCTATTGTCTGATTCCGTTTGCCCCCAGATTTAAAAAATTTGCACCTTTGATTATTTTTTTTAAGAATGATAACCCTACCAGATCCCCGATGATAAATTAGAAATATTGGCTCGTCACGAAGTGGTATCGTATGCCATTCATCGGTTGTTTAATTGGTTTGACCCTGTCGTCTGGCTTGCCGTCTGTTTGCAATGCTACAGTTTGGACATGACATTCCTCAGTAGACGTCGAATTAAACCAGAAAGAGTTCAGTGTTGTTTTTAGGAAGTCCTGTCGTACAGCATTCTGACCAAATGTTATGCCAAGCGAAGTTAACTGCGAGCCTGAAGGTTAGTGACAATATGATCTTGAGGTTCTCTAGATCTCGCTTTGAGTATTTCATCTGGGTTTTGCTAATAGGAGAGAAACGTGCAGCGAGCAATGCAACGTTAACACTGTATAAATATCGATTTCATGATTACTGGGCTGCGCTCAACAACTGTACTGAAAGGGGGCTGAAAAGTCATTTCCATCCGAAGACTGAGTGGAAGTAGCAAAGGCTCATCAATGAATCAAATTTGATTTTAACGAGCAATTTTCGTGGTCTGCCATTTGTAGTGTTGTATCATGGTGGTACAAAGGGAGACAGTGTCTGCAGTGTGGACTTTCATCTATTATGACCAAGTTTGCGGCTTTTGTGGTGCCATTCAATTGCAAAAATTAGCTATTTGTGGTGCATTTGGAATCCTGTTTAGAAATGGTGGAGCGGTTATTGCAGACAAAAATCTGTAATGAATAATCCCATGCAGGAGACATTTGTCAGGGGCACCCAACGACAAAATTTTCTTGTAGGTGTCGGAACGTTGTTTTTACGTTATAATTGTGCTTTTTGTGCTGTTTAATGGCTTATTTTTAATCGCTAAGAAAAATGTTTCTTTTCGGATACGTTAGCTGAACTTTCAAACATCAGAAAATTTTAGGGATTGAACTCTTATTACCCGAATTTACGAGCTGAATTTGCCTTTCCGAAAATCCTAGCTAACATTTTTTTGTACCCAAAACGACATTTTTATCTCTCCGAAAACAAAAGGCATTAATTTTCCCATATTACGAAAGTTTGAGATGACATTTCCCTAACCGAATATCTGAGGCGATTATAGGCCTTCCGAACAGATATTCCACCGAAACGATCCGTTGGGTGCCCCTGATTTGTCAAGGTTCTGAAGCTTGCTGAGATCTCCAGCTAGTCGACATGTTTATTTAAGCTGATGAAATGCACACTGATGATTTTTTTTTAAATAATACAAAATTATTTACCGCAAAATGCCAGGAACTTGAGTATCTTCTGTCAGCTTTGAGATTTTCGTATGGATCTTCGAGTCATTTCGACAGAAAGCACTTGAGTTAAAAATCTTGAAAATAACTCTCTCAAAAAGTCTCGTGTGATTTGGAAATTGAGTAAATGGATGTTCCCTGGAAAGCAAAACTTGATGATCGTATTTCATCATTTTCTAAGATCCTGCTTCAAGAGGTGCACTTTCTCTGTCATTTTTAAAAAGAGCAATTTGTACACCCGGTATAACGCTACAATTTTAAAGACTGTCAGTGATATCAGTGACCGATTCCGTTAAGGCCCGATCAAACGGTCACAACATTATCACAACATTTATTGTGAGCCGATGTTGAGACCGTTTGACCACCCCTCACAACAATGTTGTGACAACATTTCTTTTGTTCTTGAAATGTTGAGAGGTTGTTGTGGCCGTTTGACCGGGCATGGTTACAACATGTCACAACAAATGTTGTGAGAATGTTGTGACCGTTTGATCGGGCCTTTAGTTCAATTCTGTACCATTCCGTAGTCCAGTCCATTGTTACATCTTTCAGACATGTTACGTAACTTTTCAAGCCCATGTTGAAATTTCATTGTTTCCGAAGAGACTTCGTTGGAATTCCATCATGTCATATTCCATCATAAAATGTATGTTCATTAATTCGCCATTCCTTTCCAGCCCTCGATTCTACTGTTGGTTGGACGGGACTCTTTATTCTTCTGCTATTTCTATTTCTACTACTTTACAAGTTGGAGTGCATGTAGCTATATCCTAAAACTATAGACATGTTTGGGTTTC